CCCCAAAACCCCAAAACCCCAAAACCCCAAAACCCCTGCATATTTAATGATATTGAACTATTGTTATTTTGAATTTTCACTTTCTAATTTTGTAACAAACCGAAAGTACGAGATATAAACTTTGGACTGGACCCACTCAAATCTTCAGGCTGAGATTTTACTTGATTCTGTATATTTCTCTTTGCAAACCTATACGAGTTGAGTCAGACAATATTAAGACAACTCATTATAGGAAGTGAAGCTGAATTACCTGCCAAAAATTCCATTATTCATTTCTTCGAGATATCTTTCGTGTTTCTTTCTCTTCCTGATCTTGTCGAATATCTCAGTTGGGTTGGAGGCCTTCATGATTTTGCTGTAGTTCTTCATCATCACTTCATTTCTATGATTGCTGTCTCCAATTTTCTTCTTAGCAGGACTGTTGTTAAGAGAGTTGTTGTTTGACATAGCTTTAATAGAAGCTTTCTTTTGAGAGAACTTCTTTCGGATGCTGATGGTCCTGTCAGCTTTAGGATTGTACTTGACTGACTTCATGCTTTTAAAACCCAATCCATACCCATCATCTTGAGAATAACTGAGACTCCTTATTTGCGGAGACATTTCATACTTCGGGGACAATGATGAGTAATCTTGAAGAGAAGCGTCTAAAACTTATAAAGCAACAATACATTTGAATCTCTTGCTTGGACTGTCTGCAATGTGGCTGAAAGAGTTGTTCCTCTGTTTCAAAGTATTCTTAGCTTCTTGGATAATGGTGTTTGCACGCATCGGACTTCCATATGGACTTCTTCGTGGCTTCATCGTCAACATGGGGCTTGTCTCATCATCAGACTCTTCAGCTGGAGCTGAATCAAAGTTGACTTTGAACAGTGACTCAAGTAGATTTTTATTTGTGCTTCAGATGCTTTTTGTCAACGTACTTGCGGTTGAACTTGAGCATCTTTCAGATGTCGTTGTCGTTGAAAGTGGTAGAAGGTGCCCCTGTGTCTAAGATAATATTAGGGAATTACCATAAAACTCCATTGATCCATTACTCTGACTCATCATACTACTCTTAAGGTTCAATTTTGGAAGTTGATGCCCATTAGAAGTATTCGTTTTTGAAGAATCTACTGTTTTATTGAAAGAGATCTTTTTATATTCTGGCTCTATGATAAGTCTTAGAACTCTGAGAACAGTTGAAACAAAGAGAGATTACCTCTTCTGTCTTTGATGGGAGAGCTCACTTTAATTTTTCTGTCTTTATTGCTTACTATCAAGAACTTTATAAGTTTGATATCAAGAACAATTTCGGAATAATTACTACTATGATAGTTTCTCTCAAAATTATTGAAATTATACTGAGAATAGTTAAAATAGCATTTCTAAATTTAGTCGAACAATTGATTAAAAGAGAATTTGGCTTACAAGTATGTTTTGTCTCTTCTATCATGATAAAACTAGATAAATGGGGTATATTGATTATAAATTTCAATAAGCCCTTTTTCCAAAGGGGTTTTGGGGTTTTGGGGTTTTGGGG